TGCTAGGATGATCTTGATACTGAGGAAGTTGGCAAATGTCATTGAGGAGCCTTTGGCCATTATCTTTGAAAAGGCGTGGCGATCGGGAGAAGTCCCGGATGACTGGAAAAAGGCAAATGTAGTGCCCATCTTCAAAAAAGGGAAGAAGGATGATCCAGGGAACTATAGGCTGGTCAGTCTTACCTCGGTTCCTGGAAAAATCATGGAAGGGATCCTTAAGGAATCCATATTGAGGCACTTGGATGAGAGGAAAGTGATTAGGAATAGTCAGCATGGATTCACAAAGGGCAAGTCGTGCCTGACCAATCTGATTAGCTTCTATGATGAGGTAACTGGCTCGGTGGACATGGGGATGTCAGTGGATTTTATATAGCTTGACTTTAGTAAGGCTTTTGATACGGTCTCCCACAATATTCTTGCCAGCAAGTTAAGGGATTGTGGATTGGATAAATGGACGGTAAGATGGATAGAAAGATGGCTAGAAGGCCGGGCCCAGCGGGTAGTGATCAATGGCTCGATGTCAGGATGGCGGTCGGTTTCTAGCGGAGTGCCCCAAGGTTCGGTTCTAGGACCGGTTTTGTTCAATATCTTCATTAATGATCTGGATGAGGGGATGGATTGCACCCTCAGCAAGTTTGCGGATGACACTAAGCTGGGGGGAGAGGTAGATACGCTTCAGGGCAGAGATAGGGTACAGAATGACTTAGACAAATTGGAGGATTGGGCCACTGGAAATCTGATGAGGTTCAACAAGGACAAGTGTAGAGTCCTGCACTTGGGATGGAAGAATCCCAAGCATAGTTACAAGCTGGGGACCAACCGGTTAAGTAGTAGTTCTGCAGAAAAGGACCTGGGGGTTACAGTGGATGAGAAGCTAGATATGAGTCAACAGTGTGCCCTTGTAGCCAAGAAGGCTAATGGCATATTAGGTTGCATTAAGAGGAGCATTGCCAGCAGATCCAGAGATGTCATCATTCCCCTTTATTCAGCTTTGGTGAGGCTGCATCTGGAGTATCATGTCCAGTTCTGGGCCCCCCACTACAAAAAGGATGTGGACGCATTGGAGAGGGTCCAGCGGAGGGCAACCAAAATGATTAGGGGGCTGGAGCATATGACTTATGAGAGGCTGAGGGACTTGGGTCTGTTTAGTCTGCAGAAGCGAAGAGTGAGGGGGGATTTGAGAGCAGCCTTCAACTTCCTGAAAGGAGGTTCCAAAGAGGATGGAGAGAGGATGTTCTCAGTGGTGACAGATGGCAGAACAAGGAGCAATGGTCTCAAGTTGTGGTGGGAGAGGTCCAAGTTGGATATTAGGAAAAACTATTTCACTAGAAGGGTGGGGAAGCACTGGAATGGGTTACCTAGGGAAGTAACGGAGTCTCCATCCCTAGAGGTGTTTAAGTCTCGGCTTGACAAAGCCCTGGCCGGGGTGATTTAGTTGGAATTGGTCCTGCCTAGAGCAGGGGGCTGGACTTGATGACCTTCTGAGGTCTCTTCCAGTTCTATGATTCTATGATCTTAAAGATCAGAGCAGTCGTGTCTTATTTTTTCAGTTTAAGTGTTAAAAGATGGCTGGAAGTCACAGTTAGTATTTTGGGGAGTTTTTATCTGTTTTTTTACCCTTTTCACCACTTATTTGTAGAGAGAACAGAAATCACATGCAAATACAGCTTACTGTAGCTTCTGGAGCAGGGTGTGGGAATTGCTAGAACATGCTAAGTACCCCCTAGATCTGTCTGGCATATGATCTCTTGTTCCCTTGCATAAGTTAGAGCAGCAGCCAAGTTTGATCCAACCTAGTTTAGCGCAGAGAATCAGTAACTGATAGTTTGATGGATCAGGAGTTATTTTGGCCATGCCTATACTACAAGCTTATATTGAGTCAAATTACATTAGCATATAGATGCAATTGTTAATACATTGCTTGTGTGTGTGCATACTTGGTTGCTTGTGCCAACAGTGCTCATACTCACCAGGAGTGCTTGTATCAATGCAGAGTGGAGTGCACTGTAAGTTGGTAATTCCACTGTATGACTCGCCTCCATCTAGTGCACTGTCTTGAGAAGTTTTGGCAATGCCTAATAGGGCTGAAAGGAGTCATGATATGATGATTGGGAGCATGGGTCCACTTTGTAGTCTGCAGCTGTCTTCATCTCATGATGCTTATCGGTAGCCCATAATTTTTGCACCTGTATTTCAAAAGCCCACAAATCTATATGTTCCTTTTTGCTGTCATCTCTGACAGAACCATGGACACTGCATAGCTTTTCACTATTGTCATGAACATTACAAGCACAAGGTACAGAATTCTGGAGTATTTGCAGAGCTGCTTGAAAAAAACCAAGCAGTGGGGGACATGATTTTTTGGAGGACAGACCACTGTGGGACTTCATGAGAACCAGTTCAGGGTTATTGGTGGCGTTCACAAAATAGCTGCTGATGGTGGAGTGCAGCTTCTAGCATAAGTAAATTAATTAAAAGTACAAAAGATTGGGTCCTGCTCCTTTTTTTTTTTTTTTTTTTAAAGAGGACAACCCTATAATTGAAAATTTATGTGCACTCTTACCTGAGGTTCTTTCCCCTGCAGTGAGCTTGCTCATACTGGACTGTGGCGAAGTCAAATACAGGCTGTCTTTGCTGTAAGTCCAAGGTACATTCCAAAAAAACTTGGACTTGTAGTGAAACAACTTAAAGTGGGGCATTTTTTTCCCACAGCTGACTTCCATTTGCACAAATTTTTTTTGCACAACTTACCAGGGAATGGGAGGACTTATAATGCATCAGTTCCTACAAGCGCAAATGACTTCAGTGTGGAATGGATGAATCCCGGGATGACTCATAGTGAGGATGCCCTGTATAGGTCCTGGCTCCCTGTGCAGCTGAATGCCCTGGTTCCCCCTCCCTCATCCTCCTCTTCATCCAGCACCACCTCCTTTTTGCTGTTCCTGTCAGGGGCTTGTGACTCAGGCTGCTGCCAGCATGCTGTTGGGGATGGTGGTGCAATCTTCCCTGAGGATGGCATGCAGCTCTTTGTGTGTGGCTTGGCACAAAATTGATTATTGACCCCTCTGGCCTTCTGGTATGCTGCTGCAGCTTCTTGGCACCCTTCTCCCAAATCTGAACAATCTGCTGGTAGAGGTCAGCATTTCTGTGGTTGGATCAGAGTTGTGTCTTGTGTCCCCTTGAGCCCAGGAACCCAATATATTCTGTCTGCTCCAGGCAGGAATGTGTAGATGGCATGGTTAAATAGGCAACACTCAACAGAAAGCTGCTAGATGTGGTTGCCAAGCTAGGTAATCAGGAAACAGAATCCCCCAAATTTGCAGGGCTTTAAGGAGGAAAAGGGAGCTTTCAGTCTTTGTGACCCCTGGCAGTGGAGTTCACGATGATAACCACAGCAGTAAGTGTGGAGCATTGTTGGATGGTTGCTCAGGGACAGTTAGGGTTGACTCAACTAACACAGTGTCTGTACTCACACTGTGTTGACTGAAGAACATCACCTGTGACTTTGTTTCTCAGGGAACTGGTGTTCCTATGTCTGCGTAATAGCGTATTCACATGGAATAGGGATGAATTTAAGTGTAGATAAAAGCACAAGCAGGTTAATGTAAGCTTGTATGGACCTTATTTATAGTCTAGACCTGGCCTTTTTTGCGCAAACACTACTAGCTTTCTAAAATAGTTTCTGGTGTACTTTCTCTGGAGTCCAAGCAGTACTAGTTTAAATTCACACCTTAGGTTTAAAAAGTGTAACTTTCCCATGGAGGTGAGATTTACTGTATAAGCACCTCCATGGGAACCCCCGAAAGGGGAGGAAGAAAGCCCCTTAGGTCTGGAATGCTAGAAGTGAAGAAATCATCCTGTGTTTCTGGGATTTCTCCTTTTCCAGCCAGCAAAGACCTCTCGGAATCCAGACATCACCTCAGCAAGCTAATGCCTGCTTTGGACAGGTCTCTTGGCTTATCTTTACCAGCTATTACTTGTGGGACAGGCTAGAAGCATTGTTTGATACTCATCCTGATTTAAGCTTTGGGAAGCTTGGAGTTACTGAGTTTGAGGAGCTTGTCGAGATATAGTTTAAAGAGGGCTTTTTAAAAACTGATATTTTGACTTGCTTAATCTTTGTGTCCAAGCAATAAGATAAAGGCAAGGCTTAGACTTTAGAATGGTGATTCTTCTATTTTGAAAATATTTGCTTATGTACTTCAGAAATAACTTATAAAAGGCAGCTTTCAAAGGATTGTGTGTACTGATGTCTTCTGATAAGTCAGTGTAGAAGTTGACCCTAGGCATCTTAGTAGAAGAGGGTCTTGGAAAATCTGAAATGACTTTTACAAGTCTGGAGAGGTCATTTCAGTCGTAAGGAAACAAGGAAGAACTTCCATGTCAATGTGCCAGTAGGGGAATAAAATACACAGGGCTGGCTTCACTGATGTTGCAGAAAAGATCATTTTTAGCTGCTTAGTGGCCAGATTGTGGTGTCGTAGAGTTGTACAGTACATTTATTATCTTTAATACAGAGGAGTAGTCAGCAGAGACCTCAGGGTTCTGCAGTATGTGGTGGTTCAGTGTGAACTAGGGCAGAATTACTGGTATATTGCAGGCCTTGTAGTCTCAGTTTTTAGGGTAGCCCTCCACGCCTAGGAAGATGTGGTGTGATTTGATTTGGGCAGTTTTGATTTCTTTGCTCCAGCCAGGTTAAAAAACCAATCATCAAACCCTGAGGAAATGTTATTGTCCCAAAGGATTTTAGAGATACCTGAAGTAGAGGAAAAGCTGAGCCTGCCAATTGAGCGTTGTTGCACTAAAAAGGTTAGTTCATTGATTGTTTACTTCTGGTTTGACAGGGAGATGTGGTGCACTGGTTGGCTTGTGCTCTATATGTTGCTTGTCGTAAAAGCATAATTCCCACTGTTGGAAGTGGCCTTATGGAAGGAAACTGTGTTTCACTGACTAGGATACTACGTTCAGCCAAACTAAGGTAATCTTGGGTTTCATGTATTTACTTATTTTACTGGAGATGTAAACACCTGTGAGAAGTTACAGCTTCTTTTCCCTTATTGCTCCCCTTTTGATTGTTGGTTTACTTATATTCTAGCTGAAAACAGAATGGCACTTTCCTCATAGCTTGGAAGTAGTGCTTCACTGATATTGCAGGAATATAAGATCCAGCACATTAGCCAGTTTTCACAGCTATTAAGGCCAAAAGGGACTGTTAAAATCCTCGTATCTGATTTCCTGCATGACATAGACCAAAGAAGCCATTGATTTCTCCATCTAGTTCAGTAACTTCTTTTTGAACTAGAGCTTATGTTTTAGAAAGATACTTAATTTTGATCTAAAGGCTTCAAGGGATGGAGAATTAACCACTTCCCTTGGTAAGCTCTTCTAGTGGTTAAGTACTTTCACTGTTTAAACATTTCCAGTCATCTTCTTTTCAGCTTTAATTTTGCTGACTACAGTCTCTGGCCACTGGATCATGTGTGTCTTTGTATTGATTACATAGCTCATGAATGTTGTTGCTTTCCCTGCATAGATAATTATGGACTTCAAAACAAGTCACCTTGCTTCCTTAAAATGGCTTTTTTTAGTTTTGAGGTCAGAATGCTGTATTCAAAATTGAAAGTGCTGATCGTTTTACCATGAAACTCTGATGCTTGGGTGCTTAAATATATATACCATAAATTAGTGAATATAGCCTGCGGGTTGTCCATATTTTTTCCTCCCCCCCCTCCTCTCGCGGGGTATATATGTTCGTGTTTTATGCAATTTGATTTTTACTCATACTACAAGAAGACAAGATCAACATAATAAAATCAGCATCTTTTTTTCTCCACTCACGAACAGACTTTTCATTAACTGAAAATTTTCTGCCTGCTGCTCTATTTGCCATTTTCTTTTGCATATGTAACAACAGATAGTTTAAAATTGGCTGTATATGATTTGCACTGAGTCATCTTTAAAAATATTTTCTTGGACTGTGTTTGTTATAAACTGAGAAAGTTTTAAAACGTTGTGATTGGTGTAGGTCTTATATACCGGTAATAGGGTAGTACTTATTGCTTTTTATAGCTCAGCGGCCTCAGCCATGGTTCATTACCGGTATAACAAGACCCAGTATTATCGGGCTGCATGACGTTGTAATCTTCAATCTTTATAGCTGGCAAGTGGCAACCACATCAAAGACCACCAGATTCTTTTATGAAGGCGGCAGAAGTCTCTGTGGGTTATGTACGTCTGCGGGTATTCTAATATATTTTTTGCACACAATAGAAAAACTGCGGGTAATACATGAGTGTGTGTTATACTTGGACGTGTGTTATATTCGCTAATTTATGGTAGTAACATAAGTATTTATGTACTTCGGTGTTAATTCAACACCTGATTCTTCTATGCAGGTGTCCAGGTTAAGCACCCAGTTATGAAAATTACACTTTCCCTGCCCTTCAACTCATTTTTGTTTTTCTGACCCCACCCATGCGTACCACCTTCTTACATACTCAGCACTGGAGTCTAGCAAAGCGTGTTTATCCTTTACTGTAATTAAAGCCATTACAAAGCAATAAATGAGTCAGATTTGGTTTTCACCAAAAATCCATGTTTTTAAGAAAAGATCAAGAATTGGGAAAAAAAATCTTAAACTAGTTGACCTGTTTTATGACTGGATATTAAAATATAATCAAATGTTGCTCTTAAGTTTAATTCAGTTTTTTAGTAAAATGAAAAAATGGATGGACATGTCAGACCTGCCACAGGAATTTCGGGAGCGAATGGAGAGGCTGGAAAGAAACTTTGAAGTGTCAACTGTGATTTTTAAAAAGTTTGAGCCAATATTTTTGGATGTATTTCAAAACCCTTATGAGGAAACACCTAAACCACAAAGGAGCAGGAAACAGAGGTATATTGAGATGTTTAAATGATTTTACTGAAAACTTCTGTTTAAGCAATAGAAATGTCATGATTTACACTTTAAAAAGCTGGAAAAGTGTTGACTTGATAGATGTCACTTGACTCTGTAAGGCTCAGTTCTGCAATGAGATGCACTGTAATGGGCTCAACTCACTGCCAGGGTGCCTCCTACTGGTTACATCAGGAATTAGCTCAGTCCATGGTGTGTGCCATCTCCATCAGTGTCTCCATTTCGCTGTCTCCACCCTCTGACTCCAGACCTTTTTCACTCGCTTGGTCCACAGGATCGTTTTCAGGACACTGCCCTCCATTCTCCTCCCTTCTGGACTTATCAGCAGTCTGGAGGGATGTTAAATTTTGATTAATCAACTAATCGAGCAGTCAAAGGAATTTCCATTGACTACTTGATTAGTCGATAAGGGGTGGGGTGGGGCACTCGCTATCCCCACTGCACCTCTGCCTTTGAAATGTAGCAAGAGCCCCGGGGGGGGGGCAATGAGGCAGGGGTGGAACAGGGATTCACGTGGTCCCTGTTTGCCCCAGGTTCCCCGCACTGTCTCTCCCTTTGAAATGTAGCAAGAGCCCCATAGAGCTCTTGCTACATTTCAGAGAGGCACAGCAGTTGGACCGGCACAAGAGGGGACTGCCTCAGGCACTGTTCGTGCCGTTTCCCTGCTGCACCTCTACTTCCCAAGCCCCTCCCCCCCCCCCCCCCCCCCACCCCCGCCCATAGAGATGGTCCTGGGGGACCTGGCTTTTAAGCCAGCTCCTCCCAGCACCGACTCCTGCTCCCCCCCCCCTTACTGCTTCTCTCTGATAGAGGCAGCAAGGGAGGGGACCAACTAGTCAAGTCACTACTTGACTATCCAATAAGCATGTGCTTATCAGATAGTTGACTAATTGCTTACATCCCTGATCAGCAGTCCTCAGTCCTTACACCCCTTGAGTGGCCAACTGCAGCCCCAAAAATCTATCCCCTTGCTTCGGGGGCAATCTGTAGTCTGTAACACTCTGTGGAGGCTAGGTGAGATGTACGGGTCCCCCTTTCCCTTACACTCTGGTTGCATCCATCTCCTGCCCCCCACTGCCCTTGACTGATTCCATTCCCTGGGCCACTTCTCTGTAATGCGTGTATCTTCTCTGCCCTTGCATCAAGGGCCACAGCTTGCTGAGGTATTAAGGTGGAGCCTTTCTCCAGTCCCCTTGAACCTGCCCGGCTCTTCTCTTTCCAAGGAATTTCTGGTATCTCTTCCGCCCCCCTCCCCCCCAACTAGGACCCAACTCCTTCTCCTTTGCTGGCCAAGGTGAGAGTGAGCTCTCATCCACTCTGCTCCTTTTATAGGGCCCAGCCTGGCCCTCATTGGCCATCACTAGCTGTGACCTGATTGGTTGAGTTTACACAGGCTCCTACCTGCCAGCTTTTAACCCTTTCCTTGCTGGAGTGGGATACAGCACCAGTACATGCACTTGGTCGCACACGTACCCTGTGGAGTTTCATTGATGTCAGTGAGGCTATGCATGAGTGCCTGGTCATCTGCATGCATTTGATTGCAAGATATCAGGACTTCAACCAAAACTGAGCTAGTGTCTCAGTGTGGGTGAGCATTAAGCAGGCACTGTGATGCAGAAGATGTTTTCCTTCAGATGAAACCTAAATCTTAAGTTCTGATTACTTGTGTTCAACAAAAATCCCATAGCACTTCCTTCAAGAGTAGGGGCATTGGCTAGGGATGTGAAGATTTAACCTGTGTACTCTGGCATCCCATGGATCCTGGATGAGCTCGGACCCCCCAAGAACAGAGGCAGTAGTACAGGGTGGTAGCCAGTCTCTCTGCATAGACTGGCTCCCCCTGCCACCCCATACTACAGCCTTTATATAAGAGGCAGTAGCGCAAGGTGGTAGGTGGCTTCCCTGTGTGGTCTTCATTAAAAACTTGGACCATCAGTCAATATAATTAAAATTCTTTTAGTTTTCTCACTGTGGACCAATTCCAGAAGATTTGTGACATCAGCATCATGGTGGATGTTAGAGTATCATACTAGAACAGGAGCTCATGAAGTTGAGGAAGATCTTAAAGAAGAATTCAGAAGACACTGTGGGGTTGCAGAATGCTTTCTTGTGCCAGATTAGCGAGATATGGATAAGGGAGGCATTTATCACATACCTTGTATAGTTTTGACTTTCATCAATTTGCATTTCAATTTCAAAGAAAATTGTCAAAGTAGTTCTGACCATATTTTTTGCATGAGGAAATAATGGAACTCTAGCCATAAAACAAACAAAAGCCCCATATTATGGGACAGGCGTCTTACTTTCTCTCTTTTTTTTTTCTTTGGTAGAAGGAAGTGTACTGTCAAAGAACTGTTCAACTTCTGTTGGACACTATTTGTTTACACCAAGGGTAAGCTGTTTTCATTAGCTCTCTGCATTGTATACATTTTGAGTGATTAATTTTGTGGTTTTTATTTGATGTGCTATTTTCTGTTTATTCAAGGTAATTTCCGTATGATTGGAGATGACTTAGTAAATTCCTATCATTTGCTTCTGTGTTGCTTGGACCTGATTTTTGCAAATGCCCTTTTGTACCCAGATAGGAAAGAGTTGCTAAACCCATCATTCAAAGGTATGTTAGTACTTGCATTACAGAGGCATTTTTTCTTTTGTTCTTTCTGAAATAGAATTGATCATAACTGACCTTCTTTTTTCCAGCTTTACCCGCAGACGCTCACACTTCTGAAGTCAAGGCCTCTGAAGAACCTTCTTGCATCATTGCCACGCTTTGTGAACTACATGATGGACTCGCATTGGAAGCCAAAGGAATAAAGGAACACTACTTCAAACCGTACATTTCCAAACTCTTCGACAGGAAGGTGCTTACTAATTACTGAGCACTTTGCAATGGTAGAATAGAACTGGGTGACTAGGCAACACAATGGCAGCATAGTGGCAGACGAAATTCATTGTTAATAAATTCAAAGTATTGCACATTGGAAAACAATCCCAATTATACATATAAAATAAGGGAGACTACATTTTTTTATTTTTTACTAACAGAATGTTGGGAAACAGTAAGAAAGGGATAGAAAATAAAACAGAACGTATCATATTGTCTCTCAAACCCATGGTATTTCCACATCTTGAATACTGTGTGCGGATATGGTCACTTCATCTAAAAAAAATTATATTGGAATTGGAAAAGGTTCAGAAAAGGGCAATAAAAGTGATTAGGGGTATGAAATTGCTTCCACGTGAGGAGAGCTTAATAAGACTGGACTTTTCAGCTTGAAAGAGAGTAGGGGTGTAATAGTGTAGTCGATTAACGGATAAGCAAAAGCTTATAAGCTAATGCTATAGACTACACACATTCCCCTCCTCCCTGCCCACCAGTAAATTGTTTAGCAAGCTGGTCAGCAGCCTGGCTCAGTTCTAGCTCATGCCAACTGTGTGACCTACCCCACTGTGGCTCTGCATTTAAAGCAGCGGTTCCCAACCTTTTCCAACTGGGGACCCATTTTGACAATTCAGGAAGACTTGGTGGCCCAAGGCAATACAAAAATGGGGGAAGGAGGGAAGGCAGAGCCACTTGGTGAGACACTTGGTGACCTTTTTGAAATGTACTGGCGTCCCATATTTGGGTCCCAACCCATAGGCTGGAAAATTCTGATTTAAAGTGTGTTAGGAGCTGGGCTGATAGGCAGCCCAGCTCAGTTCTGATTTGCACCAGGTCCAGAAGCTCAGACCATGCCCCCCTGCAGATGGTCTTCTACCACCCTGCACTGCTGCCTCTTTATCAGAAGCAGCAGCATAGGGCCACAGGCAGCTGTCTGTAAGAGGAGCTAATTTTTAAACTGGCTCACCTCGTGGACTAGCTCCGGCCTGACACCCCATGGTGCTGCTGGCCCTGCCTCCAGGAATTATAGAATAGTCAGCTAACTGATAAGAATTCATGAGGTTACTCTACTATTCAATTAACTGATATTTAACATCCCTAAAAGAGATAATGATGTGGAGAGAGAGTTTTTTCACACAAAATACAGTCAATCCATGGAACTCCCTTGAAAAAGATATTTTGACTGCCAAGTCTACAACAGAGTTGGAAAAGGAAATAGATACTATCATGGAGGATAGCAGGTCCATCATTAGCTATTAGCCAGGATGGGCAGGTATAATGATCCTAGCCTCCATTTGCTAGAATCTGGAAATGGGTGCCAAGGGATGGATCTCTTGATTAACTGTTCCATTCATTCCTTCTGGGGCACCTGGTATTGGCCACTGCTGGAAGGATACTAGGCTAGATGGATCTTTGGTCAGACCCACTATGGCTATTTTATGTGCATGTAATGGTAGCATCCATATAAAAAATGATCCCTACATATAAACAAAGGAATGGAGGCAGGGATGTAACATGAAGGCACATGGACACAGTGCTTGGCACAGGGTCTGACAGCCCAGCATTTTAGTAGAAGTCGGTATTTTTGTTTAAGCCTTTTTATTCTGTGTAGGAGAAATATTAGTCAGAGTTACGTGGGGGTTGTTTTGTTGTTTTTGTTTCCCCAATTATACACCAACAGAGGAGAAGTCAGGAGTGCTCTTGATTACAAAATTGCATTATGTGGACAGTATATTGGGAGCAGAACAGTGCAAGTTACAGCAGTGTTTAAACATACCCCAGGGCTGTGTCTAGACTGGCAAGTTTTTCTGCAAAAGCAGCTGCTTTTGCGGAAAAACTTGCCAGCTGTCTACACTGGCCGCTTGAATTTCCGCAAGAACGCTGACAATCTCATGTAAGAAATCAGTGCTTCTTGCAGAAATACTATGCTCCTCCCGTTCGAGCAAAAGTCCTTTTGCGCAAAAGCCTTTGCGCAAAAGGGCCAGTGTAGACAGCTCAGATTTGTTTTGCACAAAAAAGCCCTGATCGTGAAAATGGCGATCGGGACTTTTTTGTGGAAAAGCGCGTCTAGATTGGCCCCGGACGCTTTTCTGCAAAAAGTGCTTTTGCGGGAAAGCGTCCACTCCAATCTAGACGCTCTTTTCAACAAATGCTTTTAACAGAAAACTTTTCCGTTAAAAGCATTTGTGGAAAATCATGCCAGTTTAGACGTAGCCCTTGATTCTAGAATGTTTTTTCTGATCATTGTGGACAGGAACTTTCTGAGAATTATATTGGAATTGTGTTATAAAACAGTTTTATACTTGTGGGAATAGTCAGTAGCATAGTTCTGCTGCAAAGATCTAGCAAGACATTGTCAGAGTGAGGAGGTTTCTACTGCTGAGACGTCATCTGTGCACAAATTCATTCTCTGTCATCTTGTGCAGCAAAAATACAGAGAATAAATTTGATTCTGGTCATCTGCATTACAACTAAGCTATCATGCGTCCACTCCTCTCGAACTGAACAGATTTTGGATTTACTAGTTTTTAAAAGCAATAGCGCATACAATCTTATTTTTCTAACTTTTTTCCAGATTTTAAAAGGAGACTGTCTCTTGGATTTTTGCAGCTTTGCAGATAACAAGTAAGTGTTGAATGATGCTTTTAAGCAATACCTTAAGCCATTTATAGATGTAGAAAATATCTTACCTCTCTGCCAGAGCTGTTACATTTTCTAGTGGGAGCAGAGCTAACTCATTTGCTCCAATACTTACTGGAAACCAAATCTTGAGGGTCACCAGTAGCAAAAGATGCCGGGGAGATCAGGCCCCGTAGTGAGCATAAGGGAATAAGGGTAGCGCAGTGAGTCTCAGCTAGGGCTGTCAATTGACCTGCATTAACGCCTGCAATTAATGCAGGACAGGATTCACGTGTTCAAAAAAATTAACGCGTTAATCGCAGGCGTTAATGCTGCGCAGCCTCTTGGAGGTGCCGCTCCAGCACTTCAAAAGGGCTTTGCAACAGCTGATCCCTGGCTCCTAATGCACTGCCCCTTTAAAGGGGCAGCGCAGCATGGAGCTCGTGGTCAGCTGGGAACTCCATGCAGTGCTGCCCCATTGAAATGCTGCCGCGATTAATTGTGATTACATTTTTTATCGCGATTAAAATTTTTAATTGCTTGACAGCCCTACTCTTAACTCGTGGCCCAATCAATACACAGCTGCAGCCCGTGTGACATCCTCAGGGCCATACAGGTAATAGTGTGAGTGGGGCCCAGACAACATACAGAGACCTGCATGTGCAGTCCACAATGGTAAATAGAAACCATTGAGATATGCTGTTAGAAAAAGGGAGTGAAGGCATTAATTTGCATGTGCGCTTATTGATTATTGATGCTGGTTAGGTGACTATCACAGCGAGTGCTATTACTAAAATAAGTGTTTTAACTTTTTATTACTTTCAACTGTGTAGAGAAAACGAACTAATGGAATTAATCTGGCTTCTTTAATAGCTTAACTCTTAATAAATGCAGTATGGCTTCTTTTCCAGCAAAGCATTGAATAAGGAGTATGAAGAGTATGTGCTATCAGTTGGTGACTTTGATGAGAGGGTTTTCTTAGGAGCAGATGCAGAAGAAGAAATTGGAACTCCCCAAAAGTTTGCTGTTGACATGCCAGTAGGGAAAACAACAAGAGCTTATGTGGAATGTCATCTTCAGCAGCATTTTGAAAAGGTAATATCGACTTCACTTGGGTCCTCTTAGTTGTTTTTCTTCATTTAAATCATTGCTCTGGAGTGGGCAGGGGCGAGTATTCAGTATGAAGGCTCCCCAGCCATGTCTCACCACAACAGGTTAGGCCAGGTGAGAAACGCCTTTCCATGACTGCTGCAGTGGGCACAGCCGGGGAGGGGAGCATATCCCCCAGCTGGGGCAGTCCAGGATTGTCTGTTCCCTGTGCTCCCCAGCCAGCATGAGGAATGCAGCAAACTGCACTTTCCCCTCGCTCCCTGATGAAGTGGAACAGCCAGCAATGTTCCTATAGGAATGGGGGGAGAGAAGCTTCACCTCCCCCCGCCCTCCCTAAAGTGCACCTGGGGGTGGGAGGCTCAGGCCTGGGCAGCCCTGAACTGGGAGGGAGGGAGGGGTACACAGCCAGCTGGCCACTTTGACCTGCCTGGTGAATGTATCTTTTCTGGATGATTTTATGCAACACAATCCCATTCCAGGCACATCTCATTTTCCTGGCCCAACCAAGCCCTTAAGTTGTGATACGAGGAAGCTGTATACCAAATTTGGTGGACCTAGCTCTTCCCTCCCCCCCCCCACACACACTCTCTCTCTCTCTCTCTTTCTCTTCCCCCCGCCCCCGCCCCCAATACATAGCAGATGCAGGTTTCAATGCCCACTGTTTGTCAGAAATGGGAGAAAATACAGTAACCCAAGAATATTCATTATCTCTCTCCTCTCCTCTCCTCTGCTTCTCAATGAGAGAGATTTGTTGTAAGAACTGATCTGGGGTCTGTAGATAAAGGAGTGAGGCAAGCATAGAATAGGGGAAATGTTTTTACATGAAGGGGAGAAGAGGCAGTGTCTGAAAGTGCTTTCAGTGAGCAATGCAAAAAGATTGGTCATCTCTGGATATCTTTCAGTGTCTACGAATCGTTCATCAGCTTTCTTTGGATGTCAGAGCTTCACTTGAAATATTAGTACATTTTATAAAATATATGTGTCATTTAATCCGAACTGTGGTGCATGCAGAGAAAAATTTTGTAACTGAATTATAATTGCAGCATGTATGATCAATATGTTAAATTAAAAGGGGAGGTTGATTATGCAGTCTTTCTGTTTCATGGCTACACATTCAAGTGGTCTGACCTTTAGTGTTTGTCAGTGTTTTTATGATCTTGTCTATATTTTAGTCTTGTATTTTATTGATAATTCTATGTTTAAAATAACTTCTGGGTTTTAGTTTGGGGGTTTCATTAAGTTTGTAATTTGTTATAAAATTTGCCCTTAAGCACTTTAAATCTCAGCTTGTTTTGTGATAGTGACTATAATAGTGGCAAACTTATTTTCTCTGTGGTTTATAGTGTACCTTTGAGTTTTTGAATGATTTTGCAGTTTGTCTCATTACATAATTTTTGATTAATTTTCTGTCTTACCTGTCAGAAAAGATCATTTGCACCTTCTACACCACTGACTGGAAGGAGATATCTGAGAGAGAAGGAAGCAGTAATCACTCCTGTAGCTTCAGCAACACAAAGTGTGAACCGGTTACAGAGCATTGTGTCTGGATTGAAAAATGCACCAAGTGAACAGCTTATAGCTCTCTTTGAGTAAGCATGTCCCTTACCCCCTCCTTTCCTGATAACCTTTGACCCCTCTCTTCAGATTTGGTTTTGTTAAGCTACTGCGTTTTGCTCCATGCTCAACTCTCTTTTTAAAAGGTTTTATGAGGGTTGCTGGGACAAAAGACTGATCTGTATTCTTGGTGTTTGCATTTGAAAGGACTTATTATGAGGAACTAAACTTTTTTATTTCTTAATCAGTCTCTGCTTCTAGAAAAGTAGGGCTTTAAAAACAACTCATTACTTACTGCTTGATTCTCAGCTAATTATGGTTTGTACAACTGTTTTATTTAAGATTGATTGACACTGTTGGTATAATAGAAAAAGTCCATTTCACATAAGAAATTTTGGACAAATTAAATCCTTGTCTGATAGTCTCCCTACAAAGGGAGAGAGTAGTGTGTGACATTCCTGTCTGCAGACTATAGTTTTCTTTTAAGTTCAAGTTGTGAAACTGAACAGAAGACATCCTACATCCTGCTAATTAGTCTTCAGCATTCAGCTCCTCCAATACACCTTCATCTGATTTCATTGATTCAAGGATTATAAAGTTAGAAGGGACCATTGTGATCATCTAGTCTGGCTCACTGTGTAACACTGGCCATGGGACTTATCTGAGTTAATTCCTGTCTCATTAGGGCATATCCTTCAGAAAAACATCCAATATTGATTGTAAAATTTCCAATCATTAAGAATTCACCACAGCCCTTATTTCCCTATTAAAAATTTGCCCCTTACTTTGAATAGCTTCAGTTTCCAGCCATCTGATTTTGTTGCTCATCTTTGAGTACTTGTTCTCGTCAGTTCCTGTTGCATGTGCATGTATTGTGTGCAGGGTTGTTGGAAACATTTTTCCCTTAGCCCCTGTTTGGTTGGCTGGGAAACCCTGTGGAGTGGCACCTTTATGTCACTCAACATATGGTCCTGCTGATCCAATTCCCCTTCAGTTCTTTACCGTCCGTGGCAGCATTGGAACAGGGTCTCACTTGCTGATTGTAAGTCTTCCTTAGTTTAACGGGTTGTTATTCAGTCCCATTTCTCTCCTTTTCTTTGCTTTGCTTTTCTCAAGTAGGGTAGGTAGTAGAAACGTTGGTGGGGCATTGTCAGCATCCTCTCCCCCACCTCAGGCTTGGGGCATGCTGAAAGCTCAAGGTTTCAAGACTTACGGTGTATGCTGGGAGCCTGTGCCTAATAGCAACCCCATGACTCGTGCCAGAGGTGACTCGTGGGGCGAGGGGGTGCATCAGTTGGAGCGCTGGAGGATCTATAGGGCTTTTAAGCCTAGAACCTGAAAGGAATGTGACTTCAGACTTAAACAACTGCTGATAGAAGCTGTGTGTCATCTAGCAGCATCTGATTGTCAGGTCCTGGGAGCAAGCTTGGTGTAGAGAGCGCTGGCATCGGTTCGAGAAATGATTCTGAGGAAGGACTCTGGAGCTCAAGAGCCTCGGCACTGAAGGTCACCAGCACTGCAGCTTGGAGCCACACCCTTTCACTGCTCCACATCTCCAGTGCCTCTGAAGTGCCACTGCCATAAGAATTTGGATAGAGAGCAGCAAGATCCTAGTGCCAGAGAAAGGACTCGGGGTCCAATCAGCAGGCACAGGCACCATTGAGTCCAGCTCTAGTGATTATCCAGTGGGGTAGTACCTGGTGGAGGTGTTGGAGCCCTCTATCCCTGACACTTTTGAGGCAGCCAAAGACCTCCTAGAGCAGTGGTCCCCAACACGGTGCCCGCGGGGGCATTTGTGTGCGCCGGCCAAGTGCTCGGGCATGCGGCTATGGGGGGGGGTCCCCCAGCCCCCAGGCGCATTGAGTCCAGCTCTAGTGATTATCCAGTGGGGTAGTACCTGGTGGAGGTGTTGGAGCCCTCTATCCCTGACACTTTTGAGGCAGCCAAAGACCTCCTAGAGCAGTGGTCCCCAACACGGTGCCCGCGGGGGCATTTGTGTGCGCCGGCCAAGTGCTCGGGCATGCGGCTATGGGGGGGGGTCCCCCAGCCCCCAGGCGTGCGGGTATGGGGGGGCCTGCCCCCGGGTGCGCAAGTGTCCCCGCCCTCTGGCGCCCAGCAGGCAAACGGCCACGCCCCCTGGTGCCTGACAACCTCAAATGGTTGGGGACCACTGTCCTAGAGATAAACAAGCCACAGCCCCTGGCCATTGGAGAAAAGCATCTTGCATTGCCTAGGTTGGCTCAGTCGAGATGTAAGCCTTCAAAGCAGAATTCCATGACACCGGACTGGCACTTGGTCCAGGTCTCCATCTCTGTGACTCTCAACTCCAGCATGTGAGCGCCTGGCACCAAGAGACTGTGCCCTCAATTTCCCAGCACTGAAAAGATGGCACCGGTCCAAGTCCCCTTCACAGAGCCAGCACAGAGGCACGACAGCCACCCACTGGCTCTAGATACACGGTCATAGTCGTGGGATAGTCAGCACCAATCCTCAACTCAATCTTCAAGGTGCCAGTTCCTGACAACATCCTCACCGCACCAGCTCCCACTCAGGGATCGTCAGTGCCACCATGGTCATTGCCCTCCTTATCATCTGACTTGGAGGTCAACTCTGCTTACTCCGGGTGCAATGGACATTACTCGCGTAGGCACCACCAAGAAGTGCCAGAGGCCAGGCACCCACAGTGATCACCCTCCCCTCCATGCACAGTGGCCCTTCTGGACCCTCTGGGCTTATCAGGCATAGGATATTCTTGTCAGAGCCCCAAGGTTGGTTGCCTCCAGTTGCTTTCCCTCCCTGTCCCTAGTTGTCAGGCTTACTCCTTGGGATAGAGAGGCGATCCTCTCCAAGCCACTCCCTCATACTTCAGAGGACACGGGGAAGCCAGCCCAAGAACCACCTTTGGCCCAGCATACTTCAGGCAGGGTTGGGCCAGAGGAGGACTCTGTCGCATTATCTGGAACCTGTCTTCAGGCAGAGGAAGTGGCTGAATCTGAGGCCGATATTCTTGCCCCAGAGGGTCCCTCCAGGGTAGCATTACCCATTATAAAAACTATACAAAACAATAACAAACCAGTGGCAGACTCCAGCCTTCATCCTGCTCGCTGTCAGGGGAGCAGAAAGGAACTACTTTGTTCCCTCCAAGGGGTACGAATTTTTGTTCTTCCATTCACAACTGTGTTCCCTGAAGATCTCGACCAGGAGCACCAGAGGCAGCAAGTGCTGGCCCCAAAGGCCAAGGAGGCAAAGTGTATGGACCTCTTTGGGAGGAAAGTTTATGTACCAGGGGCCTACAGCTGAGGATGGCCAATCAGCAGGCTATCCTCAGCAGGTCCAGTTTCAACTCCAGGGACACTATGTCCAAATTCAAGGAGTTATTCCCTTCTAGAGGAGATTGAGGCACTAGTTAGAACTTTGTTGCAGGCCTCCCAGATTCAGCTGGTCATCTCAGAGGTGGTCATAGAGAGGTCAGCCTGGCTCCAAGTATCAGGTCTTCCACTGGCAGGACCTTCCCTTTGAGGGCACAGCTCTGTTCTCGGATCAGATGGACTCAAGGCTACATAGCCTCAAGGACTCGAGGATGACTATGAAGTACCTTCGTATGTACACACAAGCTACCCAGAGAAAACCCTTCAAGCCCCAACCCCATCAACGCCAGAGGCAATACCCTCCACGCACGAGGCAAAAGTCCTTCTGCTGTAGAGACAGGAATAACAGATGGAGGTCTTCTAACCTGCCCTCAGGTTAGGGGCAGGGCAAGATACAGGGGCAAGTGTGCCCCTATCTAGATGATTGGCTGCTGCAGGGGTGCTCCAGGGAGCAGGTGGAATCACAAGTTCATTTAGTCACAGACACGTTCCAGATGCTGGGACGACTCTTCAGTGTGGACAAGTGAACATTATCATTGACCCAAAGAAAATAATTCATTGGGGCAGTGCTGGACTTGGCGCAGGTGAGAGCAATTCTTCCAGATTCCAGATGCTGGCAAGCATCATCTGAACTTTGAGGTGATATCCTATTGCAACTGCAAAGGTCTGTATCTGTCTAAGAGACTGCACCTCCGTTTGGCATGCCTGCACCTATGTCATCAAGAATGCCAAACTGAGATTCAGACCTCTCCAGGCATGGCTTGCTTCGGGACAGTTTGGACTCGGGATTAACAATTCTGGGCATGTCCTAGATGCTCTCTGGTAGTAGCTGGACCCTTGCGTGTTTCACAACAGAAAGTAAAAGGTACAGTGACCAAAGTAAAATCCCTGCTAGATGCATGGACACTTTTCAAAGACACCATAATAGAGGCCCAACTTAAATGTATACCTCAAATTAAAAAAACATACTAGAACTAAAAAAGAGCCACCGTGGTTTAACCATAAATAACAAAATGTTTTTTTAAGTACATCAGAAGCAGGAAACCTGCTAAACAACCAGTGGTCCCCTGGACAATCAAGATACGAAAGGAGCACTTAAAGACGATAAAGTCATTGCGGAGAAACTAAATGAATTCTTTGCTTCAGTCTTTACGGCTGAGGATGTTAGGGAGATTCCCAAACCTGACCCGTCCATTGTAGGTGACACGTTTGAGGACTTGTCACAGCTTGAAGTGTAATTAGAGGAGGTTTTGGAATTGATTGATAAAGTCACTGGGACCAGATGGCATTCATCCAAGAGTTCTGAAAAAATTCAAATGTGAAATTGTGGAACTATTAACTATGGTTTGTAACCTATCCTTTAAATCAGCTTCTGGCCCCAATGTCTGGAAGATAGCTAATGTAATGCCAATATTTAAAAAAGGCTCTTGAGGCGATCCCGGCAATTACAGACCAGTAAGTTTAAAGTCAGTATCGGGCAAATTATTTGAAACAATAGTAAAGAATAAAATTATCAGACACATAGAAGAACATAATTTGTTGGGCAAAAGTCAACATGGTTTCTGTAAAGGGAAATCATGTCTTACTAATCTATGAGAGTTGTTTGAAGGGATCAACAAACGTGGAAAAGGGGGATCCAGTAGATATAGTGTACTTAGATTTCCAGA